TGAAGCGCTGCAGGTGGTACTCGGGGCAGAGCGCGCGGCACGGCTGGTGCGGCGGCGCGGGCGGCGGCGAGCGAGTGCGTGTGTGTGTACTGTGTACGTGTACATGCGTGTGCGTGTGCGTGTGCGTGCGTGCGTACCTCCTTGAAGCGCTGCAGGTGGTACTCGGGGCAGAGCGCGCGGCACGGCTGGTGCGGCGGCGCGGGCGGCGGCGAGCGAGTGCGTGTGTGTGTACTGTGTACGTGTACATGCGTGTGCGTGTGCGTGTGCGTGCGTGCGTACCTCCTTGAAGCGCTGCAGGTGGTACTCGGGGCAGAGCGCGCGGCACGGCTGGTGCGGCGGCGCGGGCGGCGGCGAGCGAGTGCGTGTGTGTGTACTGTGTACGTGTACATGCGTGTGCGTGTGCGTGCGTGCGTACCTCCTTGAAGCGCTGCAGGTGGTACTCGGGGCAGAGCGCGCAGCACGGCTGGTGCGGCGGCGCGGGCGGCGGCGAGCGAGTGCGTGTGTGTGTACTGTGTACGTGTACATGCGTGTGCGTGTGCGTGTGCGTGCGTGCGTACCTCCTTGAAGCGCTGCAGGTGGTACTCGGGGCAGAGCGCGCGGCACGGCTGGTGCGGCGGCGCGGGCGGCGGCGAGCGAGTGCGTGTGTGTGTACTGTGTACGTGTACATGCGTGTGCGTGTGCGTGTGCGTGCGTGCGTACCTCCTTGAAGCGCTGCAGGTGGTACTCGGGGCAGAGCGCGCGGCACGGCTGGTGCGGCGGCGCGGGCGGCGGCGAGCGAGTGCGTGTGTGTGTACTGTGTACGTGTACATGCGTGTGCGTGTGCGTGTGCGTGCGTGCGTACCTCCTTGAAGCGCTGCAGGTGGTACTCGGGGCAGAGCGCGCGGCACGGCTGGTGCGGCGGCGCGGGCGGCGGCGAGCGAGTGCGTGTGTGTGTACTGTGTACGTGTACATGCGTGTGCGTGTGCGTGTGCGTGCGTGCGTACCTCCTTGAAGCGCTGCAGGTGGTACTCGGGGCAGAGCGCGCGGCACGGCTGGTGCGGCGGCGCGGGCGGCGGCGAGCGAGTGCGTGTGTGTGTACTGTGTACGTGTACATGCGTGTGCGTGTGCGTGTGCGTGCGTGCGTACCTCCTTGAAGCGCTGCAGGTGGTACTCGGGGCAGAGCGCGCGGCACGGCTGGTGCGGCGGCGCGGGCGGCGGGGAGCCGGGCGGCGGCGGCGCGGGCGCGCAACCGCCCACCAGCTGCGTGCACACCTGCACACAACGCGCGCTCACTCGCACACACACACACTGCGCCACACACTCATCCCGTGCGTGTGCGTGTGGATCGAACAATGTTCAAACGAGAAAACACTATCTACCTACACAATAAGCTTTTGCCTTTTGCTTCTATCAATACTTTGAGCGTTATCTATTCTTATGCAGCTACACATTTTATTACATGACAAAGACCATTAACCACGCTGCCCTAATGCGTGCTAGACACACTTCACATGTCTTTCAATTTTTTTTTATTTCTTAGACTTTATATATTTTCCCTTACCGCGCAGTATATGGTAAATCAGCACTTAAAATTTCATTGGTGTTAACAGAAATCGAACCCAGGTTGCGAGCATATTGTGAAATATACGGTAGACTACGAGTTGAGCTTTCAGGGCTGTGAAAAATACAAATTCTTGCAATTTGCACACACTGAAACCTACTAAACATAGGCATATCGTTTATGCATTAAGGTGGATGCTCCGATAGCCCGCCCATACATTTTTGTCAGGACATTTTCGCTAAACACATACACTATTTGTTTAAAACTAATCATTTTATCACTTTTCTATACTGAAATGTGCACGCGGTTGACCTTTTTGGGAAAGAACTTACAGTATATAATAAGAAACACAATAGTAAAATCTAAGAAAATATTGACACTTCGTTAGTAGTGTGTGAGTGACTTTTGACAACTTTGACAAGCAAAGCGCCGAAAACATAGTTTAGACATTGGCACGCTAGATGGCGTGCAGACGATATTTTGTGGAACGTAAAATTCGTAGATGCAACGATGCCGTCCTTCCTAACCTTGAACTACATGCACTACGTTGAAAGAAGAAAAAGCGTTGTCAAACTTCGTTCACTTGTTTGACTGTGTTAAAATACATTCTGAAGTAATTCTCGATTGTCACGCGATAGGATTTGCGCACGGAATTTCTTGTGTGTTATATTATATTTTTGTATAATTTTCATTGATTCAATTTGCAATATTTCTACTACTTATGTATTTGATTCCAATATAATAGAATATATAATTGTGATTTATTGTAGGTATAGTAATTCATTATGCAAAATACGCAATTTTATTTTCGGTGGTACTGCGGTAGCTACTTCTACGATTTCATAATGTTCCAATTACACAAAAACCCAAATAAATTAAATAATGATGAATTCAGCGCCACCTCGCGAGAAAATGGCCGAGAACAAACCGTATGTTTCACCTTAAGAAAGAAAAGTTGAAACTTTTGTTAAATCTTCGACTTTCTAACATACTAGGATATTAATAAAAATGTAGTCTTACCGTTGACAGTTTTTTCTGTCTCCGGTACACTTGCAGCTGCCTGCGATGCACCTCGGGTAAGCGGCGATACATCGCCATTAGCTTCCGGTCCACCTCAGACAAGCCAAGGTCTACGCGTTTTCTAAATAAAAAAATTACAACAATCAAATTGACAGCAAAAGAAAAATTATGAATAGGGGTTGAAACTTTAAAAAGAGATAGTTGATTTTAAAATAAATAACGAGACGACTTTAAAAAATAATTTGTTGTGTAGTGAAGAATCCACTACCCCATATCATCCCGTGGACGTCGTGAGAGGGGACGGAGAGAAATTGAAGGCCTCGTGGCGCAGTGACTTGCAATCGCGCAAGGAGTATTTGTATGGTCTATAAATAATTGTTCTGGATTTGGATGTTTGTCCTTGTGAAATCTATGTATGTGAACTGTTCCCACGATACAAGAGAAATCTTAGTGTGGATGTAACGTTTAAAAAAAAAACAATAAAAATCAAGAGGATAATCTGGGTGGTATGTTTCTTAAACAAATGAAAATAATTAAAAAAATCGTAATAATGGCAAATATTATATTTAAGAGGTAATCTATGGAGGAGGTCTATGTTTAGCAGTGGACTTTTGATAGGGTGCAATGAATGTAATGAATAAGATGAAAGTTATGTAATCAATAACCTTTTAGAAATGAAAGTAAGACTGTGGTTAATAGAAGTAGATGGATATTATCGTGATAAGGTTATGGATTATAAAAAAAATATTTTAAATGTTAAGGTCAATAGTATAGTGTGTTTGGTTTAAGCATGGCACAAGTATATTATGTAGCCTACAAATAATTGTATTGCGCCTTGTGTGTTTGTCAAAGTGTAATTTATGCATGTGAAAACGTTTTTGCAAGGTTTTTTTTTTATAGGAGTGGGGGCAAACAAGCGTGCGGCTCACCTGATGGTAAGCGACTACCGCCGCCCATGAACAACCGCAACACCAGGGAATTGCAGATGCGTTGCCGGCCTTTTAAAAAGGAGTAGGCTCTTTTCTTGAAGGTCCCTAAATCGTATCGGTCCGGAACAATCGCTGGTGGTAATCGATTCCACAAGGAAGTTGTGCGAGGAAGAACACATCTTCTAAATCGCACTGCGGTGGACCGCCGATCATCCAGGTGGTATGGATGGTATCGCAAGTTTTGTCGCGATATGCGATGGTGAAATTGAGCGGCTGGAATTAGTCCGAACAATTCCTCAGAGCACTCCCCGTGGTAAATGCGATAAATGATAATGCGTTTAAGGTGCGATTTTATTAAATAAAAATATTGAAGTGTTGATGAATTTTACGTGGTAGAGCCATGTAGCAGCTATATTAGTAGTATAGTTGTAGCACGAATGGGTCGGCTCGAACGGGGAAGAACGACGCTCTCACAGAAAACCAGCGTAAAATAGCAGCTTAATGCTGCTGTGTTTCGTGTGGTGAGTGTAGAGAACCGGAGACCCTTTTTACTGGCAAAGAGGCATTCCATCTTAGTCCTCACGGGTGACAACGCATCTGCATCTTGAGTCTTTATTGAGGATAGATGTAGATGTCTATGGGTCATAGTAACCACTTATCATCAGGTGGACTGTGTGCTCGTTTGTCACCCTATACTATAAAAAAAATTGAACATTATTGTTGGTGTAGTGGTTACAATGATGATGATTGCTTTTTGTGTTTTATTCAAAAAGTAGAAACAGAAGAAAAATCAGTGGATAGATGTAATAAGTGATTTTAGTTGAGCGTGTCGTGAGTGTCGAATTGTTAAGTGAGTGTTGATGAGTGGGTATTTTGAATTTGTTGTGTGTTGTTAGGAGAGTTTTATATGTTGGATGAGACGTTGAGTGAGTGTATTTGGATGTGTATTGTTGGATTTGTTGCTGGATGAGTGTTGTTGTAAGAGTGTGGTTGGATGAGTGTTGTTGGATGAGTGTTGTTGAATGAATATATATGTATGAGTGTAGTTGTATGAGTGCTGTTGTTTGAGTGATATTGTAGGAGTGTTGTTGGATTAGTGTTGTTGGATGAATGTTGTTGGTTGAGTATTATTGGATAAGTGTTGTTGTATTAGGGTTGTTGAATGATTGTTGTTGGAAGAGAGTGGTTGGATGAGTGTTGATGGGTGTGTTGTTGGATGAGTGTTGTTATATGAGTATTGTTGGATGAGTGTTGTTGGATGAGTGTTGTTGGATGAGTATTGTTGGATGAGCGTTGTTGGATGAGTGTTGTTGGATGTATGTTGTTGGATGATTATTGTTGGAAGTGTTGTTGGATGAGTGTTGTTGGATGATTGTTGTTGGGTGTGTGATGTTGGATGAGAGTTGTTGAATGTGTGTTGTTGGATGAATGTTTTTGGATGAGTGTTGTTATATGAGTGTCGTTGGATGAGTGTTCTTAGATGAGTGTTCTTGGATGAGTGTAGGTGTCTGTTATGTTAAGTGAGTGAGTGTTGGAGACCTGTGGTCGTGGTCGGGGCTGGCGGGCGGCGGCGGGCAGGCGGCGCAGTGGCGCAGCACGCGGTCCATGAGGCGCTCGATGGCCGCGATCGAGCGCACCAGCCGCCGCACCGCGCCGCACAGCCCGCCGCCGCCGCCGCCTCCCGCACCGTCCCCCGCACCGCCCACACCCGCCGACACTCCCTCCGCGTCCGACCCCGACCCCGACGTCGAACCAGACGACTCCGACGCGGACACTGTACAAATTAACACATTTCACAAACCACACTTTTACACACAATTAATATAATACGCTAACACTTTATATCAAAGTGACTGTGGCACCACGCGACATAAAAACATCTTAAAATTGAGTAGGGTTTTTGACAATAAACTCTATTATCTGTAAATTATGAAAACATAAAAACAGTGTTTCCCAGTCATTTCCATATTTTTTTTTATAGTATAGGGTGACAAACGAGCACACAGTCCACCTGATGGTAAGTGGCTGCTGTGGCCCATAGACATCTACATCTATCCTCGTTTGCGAATCAAAATGCAGATGCGTTGCCACCCGTGAGGACTAAGATGGAATGGCTTGTTTCCAGTAAAAAGGGTCTCCGGTTCTCTACACTCACCATACGAAACACAGCAGTGTTTAGCTGCTATTTGACGCTGGTATTCTGTGAGAGCGTGGTCCTTCCCCAGTCGAGCCGATCCATTCGGGCTACAACTATACTACTAATATAGCTGCAGCATGCCTCTACCACGTACATAAAATAAATCTAAATTAATACCTACATAAGAATTTGTCTGTAATCAGTAATTCTACTATCTTCTGACAAACTCTTGTCTATGACTCAAAGTACGATTGTCTACAAATTCAATATTGATGGCCTAAAGTACCACAACATTTTTATTCTTATTTTATATATTATTAAATAAAGCGAAACTTTGTAACCTTTTTTGAGTAATTGCACACGCTGATCAAAATGATACTTTATTATTAGGTATATTATTTCGTTATACTCACAGTCATCCAAGTCACCATTGGAATCACTGAGATCTCTTTCAGCGCCGATCTTCACTAGGGACGTTGGCTGACCCTCGGTGTCTGGTGGTCTAAAATTAAAATATTTTCATTTCTTACATTAGCATGGTTTGAAAACAGTCTAAAACTAGCTTAAATCCAACTATAATAAATTTAATATAAAATTCTTAAAAACAAGTAGTCGAAACTTGGGACTATATATAATATTTTTTTTTTATAGGAGAGGGGGCAAACGATCATGCGCCCCACCTGATGGTACGTGACTACCGCCGCCCATGAACAACCGCAACACAAGGGGAATTGCAGATGCGTTGCCGGCCTTATAGAAAGGTATAAAGCTCTTTTCTTGAAGGTCCCTAAGTAGTATCGGTCCGGAAAAATCGCTGATGATAATCGATTCCACAAGGAAGTCGTGCGAGGAAGAAAACATCATCTAAATCGCACAGTGGTGGACCGCCAATCATCCAGATGGTGTGGATGGTATCGGGAGTACTGCCGCGGTATGTGCGTTCGTGAAATTTGGCGACTGGGATTTATCCGAACAATTCCTTAGAGCATTTCCCGTGGTAAATGGGAAAGAAAATGCAAAGAGATGCAACATCTCTTCGCAGAGCCAATGAATAGAGCCGATCGGAAAGGACTCGGTCGTCGACGATTCGAGCCGCTCTGCGCTGGGTGCGGTCAAGTGGAAGGAGCTGGCACTGGAGAGCCCCTGCCCAGAGATGGGAACAGTATTCCATGTGAGACCGAACCTGCGCCTTGTAAAGTTGCAGGCGGTGTGCCGGCATGAAATACTGTCCCGCTCTGCTGAGCACGCCAAGCTTTTTAGAGGCCAATTTGGCCTTCTCTTCCAAGTGATCACGAAACTGCACGTCACTCGATATGTCGACTCCGATGATTCCGATACTGGCTGAGGCAAGAAGGGGAGTGCCTTGAAACTGGGGAGATACGACAAAGGGGTTCTTTTTAGCGGTAAACGCGCAAAATATGTATTTATTATTACAGTATTTTTTTTTATAGGATAAGGGTGACAAACGAGCACACAGTCCACCTGATGGTAAGTGGTTGCTGCGGCCCATAGACATCTACATCTATCCTCTGTTACAAATCAAAATGTAGATGCGTTGTCACCCGTGAGGACTAAGATGGAATGCCTCATTTCCAGTAAAAAGGGCCTCCGGCCACCTGCACTCACCAAAGGAAACGCAGAGGTAAACCTCTACATCATGCTGGTTTTCTGTGAGGTCGTGGTACTACCCCGGTTCGAGCCGGCCCATCCGTGCGACAGCAAAAGCTGCCGCGTGGCTCTACCACTGTTAAAATATTATACATATAATACAGTACCAGGGGCGTAGCTACCGCCGTATCAGCCGTATCAATAATACGAGGCCCCCAGGCTACAGAGGCCCCGAACGTATGTAATAAAAAATTCTAAGGACTTCTATGGGACAGGATGTTGGTTTGAATTGTTTGGCTAGCTTCGTTCCTAGGAGTATTAATTGTAAGTATTAACTTATCTTTATATATAAAAATTACGTGTCACATTGTTTGTCCGCGATGAACTCCTAAACTGCTGAACTGATTTCAATGAAATGTTTCACAATATGTGCAGTTTGGTCCAACTTGAGAGATAGGATAGTTTTTATCCCGATAAGTGACTCTCAATTTTTTTTATTGTGAATTTAAGGGTTTTTTAATGGGAAGGGTCGTTGGAAAGGGCAGAACAACGTCTGCCTGGTCAGCTAGTAATCAATATATAATTATTTTAATTCAATACGAGAGTTTTTGTTCCTTTTGTGAAAAATCTTTATCCTTCATTTGGGCCCCCGACAAATTTTGATACAGGGCCTCCACTCCACTGTACAGTACTATACTATATTATTATATATCAGGTTCAAAAGCCACCACTAGACTATTTCTTTGTACATTATTGAAAATACGTTATGAGCATAGATATATAATATTTAGGGAGGATTTTGCAATCATTAAATAAAAGTAAACCATCAAATAAATTATAACCTGGTTGAATATAAAAGTGAAACAATTGAATCATTTTCAACCGACTTCAATAAAGGAGGAGGTTCTCAATTCGTCGGAATGTTTTTTTATGTATATTCACCGATTACTCGAAGACGGCTGAACCGATTTGAATTTTTTTTCTTTTGTTTCAAAGGATATACCTTCCAGGTGGGCCCATATAAATTTCATCAAGATCTGACCAGCAGTTTTTGAGTTATTCTTAAATATTTATATTGAAGTCGGTTGTACAAAATTTTTAATTTTAGCACTTGTATTTATACAACTGTAATTTTTGATTTCTTTATGTTAAATTTTATTCTATTAACTACTTATATCTTTAGGCGACACATCGAACTGTTGAAGCGGGCTATCGCGGGACTGACCCGAGTGAAACATAATTTCTATAAAAACTTCAAAAACGCCGTCATAAGGTCTAAAATTGCGTAGCGCCCGCTACGATTAAGACCGCTTAGAAATTGCTTAGAATTTAAAATATTTTTAAAAAATTATTGATTTTAGTAATCAAAATAATGAGCAAGTAAATTACGAATATTGATGTTATGTAATTAAGTAATTTCGTTGTAATTTCAACTATAGTGATTTTTTAGAGGTGTTTTCGCAAATAATTATGATCGAGTGAAAATTTTACAATCGTGTTTTTGAACAAGGAAATTCAAGATAAAGACATGAATTTACCTATACCAAAATTCCAGTTTCGTTAGTCGTGTCATACTCCTATACTATTCGATGAAAGGAAGTGCATTTTTTCGCGGTGTCGCCTTAAGATTGAATAACTAGCCCCTAGCATATTATATATGTACATAGCAGAAAGTATGTACGTAATTGCACTGGCCCAAGTATTTCATCGCACCACACTGAATGGCAGACAATGCCATTAGATAATAGTCCACCGTTTGTTACCTTATTCATAAAAGAGCGATAACAGAGTTTAAAAAATTAATTGATCAATATGCGTAACATTAGATAATAAAACCGAAACATACTTTGCTCCCGTGCCGTCGCCCTGCTGCAACTCTCTGCCAGAAGTCTCGTGTTCTCCATCACTTAGTGACTGAAAAAAAATGAAAAATAAAAAAATACCAAAAATTAAATACCAAAACATATGGGTTGTTTTATATTTTACTAGCCGTACCCGGCGCGTTGTTGTCGCAGAAAAAATAATTGTAGAAATATCGTTTCAAATTTGGAGGACTTAAGTATATTGTTTAATTAGGAATGATAATACATTTATTGAAGTTGAGTGATAGGTATATAACTTTCAAAAAAAATTATCGGTACGACACGCGCGACACCTACTGTAAGTTAATTGTACTATACCTATAACCTTCGCGGAAATGCACGCAATAAGTTGATAAAGTTTTACCGCAATCTGATGAACGGTATGGCAGTGTTAATACGAAAAATCAAAAATTATTTTTATTTATTAGATATGAAGATATTGTTGTCCCAAATAAAGTTATAACAATATACAGTCTTACTCATAAAAATCGACATTAATTTAAGAATTACTTAAAGTTGCTCTCGCTCTCTCGTTTTCTTTTGACTAAATGACAATAGAAAGAGAGAAATATCATTTAATTTTAATTCAAGTGCCGAAAAAATTATAACAGTACGCAACATTTATTACCACAGCTTCAACAACCTAGCTTTCAACCATAACCATCATAATTCTCATCACCGTTTCACCCAAGGCCGAGTCAAAGATTCATTTTCACAGTAAATACAATACAACACACACCTTATCTCCAGCTGTCTCCATCTTGCCACTATTGAACTCATTGACTGCCTGCATCATGCCGAAAAAGGATATCCTGTAGTATACGTCACTGGAAATAAAACAGGTTCGATTAATTTATTTAGTTGTCTTTTTGTTAAGCGAAGAATCTCTTTCAGATGATTTTTTTCATTTAATTTTTTTTTTATAGGATAGGGTGACAAACAAGCACACAATCAACCTGATGACAAGTGGTTACTATTGCCCATAAACATCTAAATCTATCCTCGATTAAGAATCAAAATGCAGATGCGTTGTCACCCGTGAGGACTAAGATGAAATGCCTCGTTTCCAGTAAAAAGGGTCTCCGGTTCTCTCCTCTCACCATCCGAAGCACAGCAGCGTTAAGCTGCTATTTTACACTGGTGTTCTGTGAGAGCGTGGTCCTACCCCAGTCGAGCCGACCCATTCGTGCTACAGCCATAACAAAGCTGCAGCTTGGCTCTGCCACGTAAATTGCATTGTCTTCTTTGAAGACTTATTAAGGTGGATTTATTCTGCCGTTTTCCAAAAAGGAGACGGTACTCAATTCGACTGTATATTTTTTTTTATGTGTGTTACCTCATAACTTGTTACTGGGTGAATCGATTTGGATGATTCTTTTTTTATTTGAAAGCTGGTACTTCTCGTGTGGTCCCATATGAATTTGATCAAGGTCATGTATAATAGTTTCTGAGTTATTCTTAATAACTCATATTGAAGTCGGCTGTACAAAATTTTTAATTTTAAATTATTCCATAAAACTGAAGTGATAAACGAAGTCACGATGGTGAGCGGCTACTACAGTGCAAGGACACCTACAACCAACTTCAAACAAATAAGGCTACAGGTGCGTTGCCATCGCTGAGGACTAATGTGGAACACCTTACAGCCTGTAATTGTACTGTCTCTCTATGCCCTCCAGAACGGAACGGAACACAACAGTGCAAGCACTGCAATTTGCAGCAGAAAACCTACGTACGAATATTGGGTTTCTATTCATCATATATCAGGCCGGCCATATAGCTCGAAAAACCGACAACCGATGAGGAAGAAAGGTTCTTGAGTGGCAACCTCGTACTGGTAGGCGAAGTGTAGGGCGACCCCCCACGAGATGGAGTGACGACCTGGTAATACATGCAGGAAGTCGATGGATGCAGGTGGCTCAGGACCGTGCTTTGTGGCATTCCTTGGGAGAGGCCTATGTTCAGCAGTGGACTTATGAAAGGCTGTAATGATGATGATGATGATTCATCATCTATGTTCTGTGATGTAGGCGCTGTTAACCTATACGGCTCACACAGCTTCATATAACACAGGGCTCGCGGACTCTCAGGCCCCGAGCTGTTTAGGCCGGACTATTTACTTCTAGGCAAAACAAAGTACCTACCACCTAGAATGCCCGAAGCTTCAAATTAGTCAAGGTAAAAGAAACATCCAGTATAATAATGCAATAAAATGAAATCTGATTTTTCAACAAACTTCAAAAAAAAGGAATTGGAAAATTGGAGTGTATTTTTTTGTGTGTGCTACCTCAGAACTTTTTTCTAGGAGAACCGATTTTGGTGATTCTTTTTTTTTTATTTGAAAACTAGTGTATTTCATGTGATCCCATATGAATTTGATCAAAACCTGACCAGTAGTTTTTGTGTTATCCTTAATAATACGTATTTGATTGACTTCGAGTACATTGATGATGTTCTCATTTCAATTATATTGAAGTCTGTTGTACAAGATTTTTAATTTTAGCTCGTGTTATTCGGGTATGATTAAAACTATAAGTGATACCAGTAGTGAAACTCAATAGCATTCTACTGTACAAAATTATCAAAATAACAATATATGGTCTTGACTGAATCTTTCATATTTATCAAATGAAGTCTATAAAAAGAACTATAGTATTAGATTTGTACATTTAAATTTCCTATTGACAATGAGTGTCCTTTTATAACCAGTGCTTCATTAATATGATGTAAAAGATATTATCTAAAACAAAAATAATAAAACAATGAAAACTTGAGAGATTGTAAACTAAACATTTTAAATTTAAATAGTTCAAATATTTTGGGTCGAACAAGTTGAATGATATCAATTTTTTGTCTATTACGCAAATCTTATTAAGTATATTAGTAAAATTACATATAACCATAGACATCTTAAAAAGTGTATAATTAAATTCTAAAACATGGAAACATGTCAAGACTTGGATATTCAAAACTCTAATTAATTACAATGGGAAGTTAATAAAGAATTTAAAAAAAGTCCCCAAGTTACCTTAATAGCTGTTTCCGTTGTTGGGCGCAGAGAGTTCTCGGATTGAGACAGTCACACCGGTGCTTGTATCCCGACCATGCTGTTACTGGTAGGAGAAAGATAATAAGAAATTAGTAAGTTGAATAATAACTGGATAAATGTCGTTCAAAACAACTACGGAAAGAGATGGAAGGGGAATCATATAAATACTTAAATACCAATCTTACTACCATGAGAGCAGGCTCGCGCTGTGGGCTTGCTGAGAAGAACCAATTAATTTTATTACATGAAACTAATTTTTACGGATTTTATCGCGTTTAATTTAACTTTTTAATTTCCGACGTTTCGGGAATTAAAAAGTTAAATTAAGATGTGTGAACATGATCAAGATCGTCCCCGCCATTACATTATATTTGATAGACCACAAATCGTCTCAAAAGAACACCGATACGAGGGACACACTGAAATAATCGGGAATAAGAAAAACCACATGCACGGTATAGCTAAATTGTATTTTATTCTTTTTCGAAGTATTCTTCGTTCAACTTAATGCACTTTTCCATTCGTGCAAACCAATCATTAAAACAGTAATTCCAGTCTGAAGTTGATGTTGACGAAATGGCTGATTTGTACGCTTCCACAGCTGCTTTGGGGTCTTCAAACCGTTGACCGCGTAATAAATCTTTAATTTTGGGGAATGTAAAGAAATCGTTTGGGCTCAGGTAAGGACTGTACGGGGGATGGCTCATCAGCTCAACGTTTTCCTGCTTCAAAAAATCATTCAACTTAGCGGTAACCGTTCTGCGTTCCTGTAAAGGAATTGTAGCAACATGCCCCTTTTTCGAGCGAACGTAGCGACCATTTTCTTTGACACGCTGCGGGAGCGAACCACTTTCATTGGTTTGACCTCGTCTTCGAAGACCCAAACTGCTGAGTGATGTTTTCTTTCAGGTTCGTATGAATAAATGCATGATTCGTCATCTGAGACGATATTATAAACGGCATTTGACTTCCCTCCGTAAAGGCGTTGCAGAGTATTCCGGCACCAATCTACACGAGCCGCCATTTGCTCTTCGGACAAATTGTGGGGAAACCAGCGGGAAACTAGCTTTCTTACACACATCTCATTATGTAATATCGACTGAATTGCAGTCATTCCGATACTGATAACAGCCCAAATCTGCTCATCATGACGGTCATCTAATATAGGGCACAGCTGCGATGTTTTCAGGCGTGACCGCTGTTCTTGGTCGACCTGCAGAAGAAACAGTGCTGAGTGACACACGACCGCGTCGGGAACTGGGCATACCAGCGGTATGTTGTCGTTTGACTCGGTGCTTCAACATCATAAATCGAAACAAGTTCGCTGAGACATTTATCTTGAGATAAACCGCGACGAAAGTTATGATAAATTATGGCACGGAAATGTTCACGCATGAGCTCCATTTTTCTGTTAACGACGATCTACTTTAAAGCAACATAGTTTTTGTTTTTAAACATTTTTTTTAATTGTTTGAATGTCATTAAGATTCTAAGAGGCCAGTATTCAAATTCTAAAAATGGTTTTATTGTAACTCAATCCAAAATATTCTATTCCCGATCATTTCAGTGTGCCCTAGTACCTAAGACTGCAAGACTTCAAGATACTGTAAGCTCATTCTCCGGAGATCGGACCAAAAATTTATATTCAAAAACTGATGGTAGCCGGGCATGCATCGGGACGTCAGATTCCTCAGCCCCCCCCCTCCCCCCCCCCCCCCCCCCCCTCCCCCCGCGTACCACGTGTGATGTAAAGCACCCGAAACGTCGGGATTTAAAAAAATTAATTAAACGCCATAAAATTCGTAAAAAGGACACGGACTTTGTTCCATACAAGCTTGGGCCCGCCGTGAACAAAGTTCAAATATATCTTATTTTGAAGATTTAATTATTTGTTACTTATGATAAAAAATCATATTTTTGTAGGGCCTGGGGTTTTGTTTTTATTTTGCTTTATTATTTGTAGGTTATGTAGTAAAATCACTCGTTCTTGGGATAAGTTGTTTCAATAAATTCAAAAGAACACAAAATGATGCCGTTTTTAGTTATTATTAAATAAAATTAAATTAAATACAACTCAAACTTTTCTAATTGTTTATTTCTTATCTGCAATTATTAATAAAATGTCATCTAGAAAAGCAGCCTGAGGCTGTACATTGTCTGTTCTATTCCACTCAAAACCCAAGTAACATATTATTGTCATTATGTGGGCGCAACAACCTACTGTCCTGTAAATCGAGAGAAAGGCCAAGGGTCAAGTTAAATTAATTCACGAAAATAAAAACCCGAAACATATCGACAAATACAACCACAATGCCAAATGCGCATGACAAGTTTAAAGTTAAACTCGAAGTTACCAAGTCTCCTTCAAAACAGGCAATGATCAACGACCATACAGCCTCTTCAATCGTGTCCGATATTATTCATATATTTTGTTTAGTTTAATAACGTAGCCTATTCAATCGATTTTCTAAATAGATTTCTTTTATTCAATATTAATCTCTACAGATTCGCTTCAATGTTTCAATATTATGAGTATTTATAATAATATTTTTTTGATACTGAAGGCTATCTAGTACAAAAAATAGCCTTCATTGTCTAATGCCATAGACAAAATACATAAAAATATTTAAAAACGTTTTGTTTTTGCTGTGCTTAAAAGCATTAGCTATAGTTTTCCAGTTTAAAAAAATGTTTTTATGATTGTCCCATAGATTACAGAAATAAAAACCATTTAATTATGCTTATCTTTATATTACCTACATATTTTCGTATAACTGTTACGAACGATGTTAAGCACCCAATTTCATAGATCTCCTTTACACAACACACACAAGCACTCACGCCTGTTACCCAGAGGTGTGGGCAGAGACTACGGACTTCCATTTGGCGCGATCCTGACACACCTCTCTCGCCTCCTTTACATCCATATATCTACGCATACACGCTCGTCGGTTAAGGCTACTACTACTAATCTGGCCCATTTTTAATGTATCGCCGATTTGGTCGATAAACCTTCGTCTAGGGCGTCCCTTCCCGACCTTGCCGTTCACTTCTGCAACATAAATTTGCTTTGTCACTCTTTCCTCGTTCATTCTTTCTACACGACTAAATCACTGAAGCATTCCTTTCTTACAACGTCATCTTGCAAACCACACTTTTCTCTTATCACACTATTTCTCACCCTGTCATTCAGATTCAGCCCTAGCATACTCCTTAAGGGCCGTATTTCTACAGTATTTATTCTACTCTCATGCTTCTTCTGCCAGACCCAACTTTCACTACCATACATTAAAGTAGGGACTAACACAGCATTATGAATTGCTATATGTGCCTTATTTCACACATTCTGACTTCTCATAATAGCGTGTAGATCCCCATTCACTCTATTTCCTGCGTTCACTCGTCGTTCTATATCCAAAAACCATCACTTTTGTCTTACTTGCGTTCACTTTCATACCCCTTTCAATGACCAATTCATTAATGTGACCATCATTTGCAACTCGGCCGCCGACGATGCAAATATGACTTGATCATCGGCGTACAAAAGGCATTTGACGGTTAACTCACCCATTCTCAACTCACATTCTTCAACTTTCAAAGTTTGCAAACAACTGTCTATAAATAGGTGTAACAGCCCTGTCTGACACCTTTATGAATGCCAAACCAGTCCGAGTAGACCCCGTTGATCCTGACACAAGCACTAGAGTCCCTATAAAGAGACTTCAATGCCTGTATCAAGCCTGCGCTCAACCCAAATGAGTTCAGTGTTTGCCATAACACATTCCTGTCCATTCTGTCATAAACCTTTTCCAAGTCCATGAACGCACAAAAAACTTTCTGGTTTTTGGCCAAAAACTTCTCCGCAATCATGCGCATGGAAAAGACTTGATCCGTAACACCCCATCCCCTTTCTAAATCCAGCTTGCACATCCCAAATTTTTCCATCAGTTTCTTCCATAACTCTTTCAATTAACACCTTAGCATACAGTTTACCGTGAGTGATACAGCTCGTGGTGCACTCACGGTCTTGCGGCGTGGTCCTGGCGGCCATGTCCCGCAGGCGCGCGCTGGTGCTGGCGCGCTGGTGCGGCGCCAGGAAGCGCGCCAGCCGCCGCCGCGCCCGCGACACCCACTCTCCGCCCTCCTTTGACTCCCTGCACAACATCTCCACCTGCGAACAAGTCCATACAACATTGAGAACCTGCTCCAATGACGGTTAATATTCTTAACCTCACCAGATATCGCCAGTTGTGACTAAGGTCATTTGTTATGCAAATAGTCTAGTAATGTACCTTACTGTTAGAAAACTGTACATCTTATACTCAGTTCTAAAACTCCATAAAGATATAATGTTTCACTGCTGTATTGTAGCCAAAAGAAGGAAAAATATAATGACTACAGCTGTCGCTGTCTTAACTGTTTTAGCTAGGAGGCAATATGTAAAACAATCAGCGACTATATACAATGCCATTAATAACAATATAAATATTTATTATCTCAATTACTATAATTGCAAATATGTTCTAACCAAATGGCTATTATAGCATAAGAGCTATGATGATACCGACTCTTTTAAGCAACATGAAATAATGTAGTTTATCTGTAACACACGCACGCACGCACTCACTCACGCACACAGTCACACACACGCGCGCGCATATATTATTAATTTTATTATTTTAATTATTATAGTTGATTATTATGTAAAACTCATGCAAATAGTAATGTAGGTGCTATGGAATACCCCCCCGCCCGAACGGGTTCCCGCCTTGACGTGGCGGGGGGGGGGGGGGGGGGGGGGGGCGCTTAGTAGCCGTGACTTGGTCACCCGCGGTGAACAAAGAGGAAAGGGGTGTCCTCTCCCCCTACCACTGCAGCCGAGATGGAGTCGCAGAGGAATAGGTGTGTTTTGGTATGGCGATGCGCCACTCGCCCTATCCTTCGCGACTCTAACGGGGCCGCTCGATTTTCTTGGCCCCATGGCCTCCGCGTATCGGACTCCGAGGGTTCGATACGCAGGTGGAGTTGGAGGCCATGGAGGAGGGTGTGCCTTGTTTTCCTGGTGCGCCTAGCCTGAAAAGGGGAATGGGGAGGATATGTCCTCCGCCGAGAAGGGGCTGCCATGGAGCGGCCGGCGCTGGTGGGGCCGCGGATGTGTGCAAAAGCGTTCCCGTGGCCCTGCCAATATGCGTTGAAGGTCGTTACGAATCCGACATAACCCGTCTTTGCCAGCGCGAGGCGGGTATGCGGAGGCATTTCCCCGTGTAAAAAAAATAAAAATAATAACACAAGTTCTTATACTTAAAAGGAGACCCAGCTTCGGTCATATTGTATGTATTATCATTTACTGAATAAATTATTTTTATTTCACAGTGCAATTAGCATTGAAAAGATGATTTATAAATGAGTTTTTCGGTTTCTTATATACCGGGTGTTAGTGAAACGTTCCCGAAAACGAAGACAGACGATAGTACTAAGGACACCTTTGATGATGGGTCACAAAGAAATTCGATCCCGAGAAGAAAAAGAATTATCTTTTAACAACGCTTTATTAACTTTATTCACGCTCCATCATGTTAGTACAGCTAAATGAAACGATAATTTCATTAAAAAATTCGTCAAAATACTTAAACATACAACCAGCAGTGAAACTTAAAATAAAATCAGCTGACAATAGGATCAATATTCTCGCGGACGCCGAACTCTTTATCTAGCTCGGTGCGAAACAGTGCCTACTCATTCTACCCTTCACGCCCGCCCGGCCGGCTCGTGTCGCCTTGCGCTGTGCAATTTACACATGTCAAGGTTTGCCAACATGTGGGGAATTCCCAAAATTGCGGGAAATTTAAAGTTGTTTGGGGATTTTACGGGGATTGGTATTGTGCGAGGAAAATACGAGGATTTTAAAAATCGATAACCAGGATCAAGTCAAAACCTTTTTTCAAGAAATCTAAATACTTATATCTGAACATTTTGTTAAGTTTCTTATGAATATCGAATGACTCCCTTTTTTAATTATCTTCATTGCACCACATTTAATTTTCAGATTTATTTCGGCTGTAGTGCCCTGTAGACTCCCCTTTACCTCCGACAATATACATTTATAAAATTAGTATTAAGTATAGGATAGATGGACAGTATAATTAAAGTTCTTGTACAAGCAACACGTCTCCTTCATTCAGCACCTTCCGAGTTCCGACCTTACATGGCGACCCTGCCAGGCGGTGCGCTGCGACAATGCACGCGCACCGCCGCGGCCTATTACTTACAAGAAAAAAAAATATTATAAGAAATCTAAATTAAATTATGAAAAAAATATTAACGGCAATACCGGACGTGACGAATAATAATAAGAATATAAGAAAAGGACTGATATTACTATTTTTTTAAAGAAATTACAGAAAGTATTTAATAAACTAATGAAGATCAACTTAAAAAGATAAACCTTATGAAAATTTCAAAGGTAATATGAAGAATAAAATACTTAATATTGATAATTATGAGAAGTATAATGAAGAAAGGAACAGCAGTTGTACCCTAGCAAGCTTAGCCCAGAAGAATGTGAAATTTGAGTCAGAAAGTACAAGAAGATATTAAGAGGTAACTTCGCACCTTTGTGATTTTATCTCCATCTAAAACTTTATTTATCATTTTGTGATTGTTTTTATGTTCTTTTTGCTATTATATTTTATGAATTTAAGTATTAAATATTCTATATTTAATACACCTATGTTTAAATTGAAAGTAATTATCAGATAATTTACGATTCAATAGATTTTTTAATATTTTATTACTGTATCTGAAAAAATAATCAAAAAGTAATAATTATAAATTAAGTTATGTATGCACTTCTGTGGCATGTTTTATTAAGGTACAAGACGATTTATATTCACTTTTTTTTTCAGTTATTGCCTTATATTATTTTATAACTGTGTCGTGCAAAAATTAATGAAATAATGTGATTTATTAAATTTTTACGTCCTTACATTTACTATAGTTCATCATAAATTAATTTTTTTTCATACCTTTTATTCAGTAATTGATTTACAAAAAAAATTATGAAATAATACGAAAGATAAAAATTTTACGTACTTAATTTCACCAAATTTAGGGTTAAAATAACATTGTGATACATTTCGTTGTTTTTTCTGTAGTCTTTTAATATAAAATTATACAATTCATTCAACAAAAAAATTCTACACATTCAACACCATATTTTTTATTATGTTTTAGTCTATATAAAATAAATAGAAAAAAACACATAATGCATTTAATATTAAATTTACGTTATTTACAAGTAACTTGAAAATATTTGTCACATTTTATAATATTTCTACTATATTCAAAAAACAACAATATATTAAGCTACATTTTAGGATGATCAGGTTCGGATTAAAAGCAAATATATTTTAAATCTAACCCAAATTTATTTCTGTAGTAATTTTTATTTAAATGTATATAATTTTGAAGGATTAAAAAAAAATCGCTACTAATAAAAGTCATAAGTATTTTTCTTCTTTTCTAAAGGTATGAAAACCTTGAAACGATTTTAAAGTTATAAATAAATAAATATATATTCTTTAATAAATAACCTGAAAGTTAATATAACCTACTTAAAAATGAAAATCATTCTTCTCTTTGTTTAAATAAATTAATGTTTTGTTTATATAAACTGAGTAGCCGTTATAGTGACGACGACTTATGTTCCCATTATTATTTCTTTGTTCTTTTGGCTCATTTTATAGTTAAAATAACACTTTTTCTTTTAACGACCACAAACTAATCTAGATAAGTTAAATTCAATTTCAATTCAAAATTCAAATGTAACAATCTTTACACAGTGAATATAATAAGTATGCTAAACTTTTCTTATGAATGATATATCTATAAATATGACATGTTATGCAATGAGCTTATCTTAAAACAGTAGAGAGCAACATGCGATATATGAACAGGTGCATAAAAATAAATCATAACAACATTCTAATAAAGACGAAAATAATAATATCAAAAAATAAATAAGAAATGACCTGTAAACACGTGGATAATAATAAATATAAATAATAATAACGTGTAACATAAATATGAAAATAATGAAATACTGTAAAATAAAATAAAAATAATTAAGAGGTTTAATAATAATGTTCCCTAACAGTTAAAAACGGCAAAAAAAAAAATAGACTGACAAAAATGTTATCCAATTTGTACAAAATTAGAATGTATGTAATTAAAAGATATGAGGAATGGAAGAAAAGAATGTTCGAAAGTGTGAATACGAATGATCGAGTTGCTAAGTTTCCCCAATATTGGACTGATCACCCAAATATTGATGAATGCTTAAATTCTTGGTATGGAACTCATTATGAGCGAGAATAATGCAAATTAGTATATGGAAGTGGAGCATGCAAGTGAATAAAAATACCCGATACACCCAAACAGATATTAAGATGTAAAAAAAAAAAAAACACAGGTCATGTATAAATAAAGAAGCAAAATGGTTTATTAAGAGAATAGAAATAAAACATATTATAATGACCTTGATAAATAAATCATGGAGAGATACGGGAACGTCCATCACTGGTAAAGCATATAGTCCTCGAGCAGGGTATGTTTCCATGATTGGATGATAAAATCGGAAGTAACGGGTACTAGGGAACAATACCTTCAGTACAAATGAGATGTGAACGAGTTTACTCATATTAGTACTGTTGGGGACCAGAGAAATCTTAAATTTGTTACCCTTAATAATGGTACATAGGGGTCACATCCTTCATTGGATCATAGTGTGAACTTAGTTTTCCTCCGTGACAATTGTTGGAGTCCTTTTAAAATGACTTAAAAGTTGACCTCAAGGTTGTGCGCACAACCCAAGGTACAGTTCTACCTTGAGATAGTATGATAAAAAAAAAGTTAATGTACCAATAAAATGAAATGAATGTTATGAAAATGTAATATAATACCCAAGTAAATGGGGGACCCATATTTATAAAGTACCCGCGTGATAAATATCACGAAATAAAATATAAATGAAGTGAATTAATACTCCGATTCCCGATATCTAATAAATAAATAAATATATAAGTGAATAGAATTACGATAACAAATTAAGCTAGCTAAAAGGTCAAAAATAATAAATTATTATGAAAGGAAAGAAAGTATGTACATACAAGA